TAAGGGTGATTTATGTGCTAAATCAGTGGGTTTCTGAAATTAGTAACATAGGTATACAAGGTTCAAGAGTCATCAAAGTCATACGAGAACAAGGACAAGAAGAAAACCTCAAAAGGAATCTGCTRGGGAAATCAGTAAGATGTGTTATCATCTTGGTAGTGGCTTGCTACATCAAGTGCCACTTGTTGGAACAGTAGACGAGATGTTATATGTGAGGTAGAGTGAGTGGCTACAGTTTTAGTCACAACACAAGCAGTTCCAGGTTATTGCTTTGGATGCATCAAAAWGTTTCACCAGTCCACACTGTGAAACGGTAACTGATCTTCAAAATGAGAGTATGGAAGCAAGTACGATGTATGCAGATGACAGGTTCTGATGAGACAATTGCAGAAGGTGCTTTCTTCAAGTTGGAGCCATGTTTTGGAAGGTATCTTGTCTTGTTTCAGAGCTTCAAACATTAAAGAAGCATTTGATGGCCTAAATGAAAGTTCAGGCATTGGAGACTGCGTGTTCTCTGAGAAATTATTCTCAATGCTATTTCGCAATGGACTCTGCTAGGGTTTTGTATTAGGCGGGTGTCTTGTTGGTTTAAATAGCGGTACAAGACATATACAAGTTAGCTTGGTTGGAGGAGAGATCAAAGTTTTGTGGTCTCTGGTATTGAGGTGACGATTGATGGTATATTAGTATAAGATTTGTTTCAGAGAGAACATGAGGAAGACTCCAAGACATGGTTATCTGAACAAGATGTACTCTACAAATAATATTCTAAAAATATTCAAAACATTATAGGCGGGCCCCACTTTCTAGAAGACAGTGACACCCGACAGGCGGATCCACCTCAAGACCCACTAGAAGACTCAGCTGCAATGTCGGCACCAATCACAGCCTTACAGCAAAAAGAGACAGACAACTCTGACTCACCCTATCAACTTTAGACTAAAGTCAAACAACAAACCAATCAGAAGCAAGCACGAAATAAAGTAAATACGCAAAAGTCATTGAAGCAATAATTCAAGATTCGTCTGCTCTCCTATAAATACCCATTCTCGGATTCAGAAGCAGGACACGAGCAATTTTCACAACCTCTCTCTACAATCTCGCTCTAAATTTCTTTGTAATCTTTTCAAAGTCTTCAAGTCTTATTTGTATTCTCTTTAAAAGGTATAATTTCAAAATCTTGTATTTATATTCCGGAGAATCAATAAATTTACAAGTTTGAACAAATACTTTGTATAAATATTTGAATTCATGGCTTACTCTCATTAAGTTAGATGAAAAAAATAGAGAAACTGAAAGGTTTTATTGTGCCGATTGAAAAAGGTTTTCAGTTATTATATAGAATGTGTTGTGTGCGTTCTTTGTTATGAAAGGTGTCGCCCAATTAGAAAATATGGCATTGTTCTTTTTTTTTCAAGTAATGATTTTCTTTTTTTTTAACAATTTTTTTTGTGTGAATCACTAATATTTTTCCTTTATTTTATTTATTGTTTAACTAAATGGAAATTTTATTTTTTTAATGTTTTGTCACTTTTTGGTGAACGAAATTTATTTCTATTTTTTCCATTTGTCTTTCTTTCTTATCTTTTAATTACTTACTTTACTATTTTTGAATGATTTATGTTTTTGTATTTTTCTTGGTTTTGTTTGATGTTTTTGAAATTTTGTATTTTATGTTATGACATTTTTTTTAATAAAAACATTTTTCCCTTTTTGTTTTTAAAGAAACGTTTTTCCCTTTTATTTTTTTTGTTAATTGACACATGTCATCATCTCGTTAATAGTAGACACATGTCGGCATCTGATGAGTTATAATTTTGCCTACGTATCAAATTCTCATCGTGCGTATTCTCCTTTATATAATAAGATATAACTATTAAACAAATACGAAAACAAAGATTATGTGATAATTAATATGAAATATTTTATTTAAAGAATATAAAATATATGTGAGAATATCTTTTTTTAGTGACTATTAGATTTTTTTTACATGCGTTAGAATATTCAAAAAAAATTCATGATTTTTTTAGTATACGGGAGAAATTAAAAATAACAAAAATATATCATATGCATTATTCAATGACAATTTTAAGGAATATGTCATTTAAATTAACTAATAAAAATTTTTTAATTAAACCTATATGCCATGGTAGAAATCTCTATATGTTTTTATTAGTTT